CTGCACCACAAGTCTCCTTGCTGATATGGGGGAGGAGGTTTTGTTCAGAAGTCTTGACATGATGAAAATTTTGAGTGAATTGCTTCATTGAGTGTGAAACAATTCCAAGTATTCTTCATCTCTCTGGTTCAGAGGATATGCTTTCATGATCCTGTCTTCATCTTATTCTCTTCCTATTTTTCTAATTCCTCTTTTAGTTTTTCTGCAATGGAGATCTTTTCCTTTACTTTCGTTCTATTTTTTTAAGCATGTTGTCTACAGATAATGTTAACAAATGTCAATACCACATATTTGCTGTTAGAGTTTTATTTGTAGCCTTGCATGCTGTCTGTAGTTTGTATGACTTGGAGGGACTTTTCTCAGCTGTGGTGTCTATCTGTCCAGCACTACCCAATCATTCCTTCCAACCTTTGAATTCAAAGAGAAACCCACTTCTCTGCTGAGTGTTCTTTGCTCTTTCTTTTCTTGGTTGGTGGCCGTTGTTTGTTTACTGTTGATCTGTTCAGTTGGTTGCGAACATGAGTGCAGTAAATAAAGTAGCATACATAGGTTTCTAATTTTCAAGCAGCTGAAAAAAAATTGTAATTCTATTTCCTATTAATATCTCAGAGTGAGTTATTGAGACTTTATGTGCCAATTAATTAGAAAGAGGCAGAGTCTGGGAAAGTAGTAGCTATTCCCTTCTGTGAGTCTCCATACTTCTGTTACATTGCAAAAAGGGAATTTTGCCAGAACTCCAAAATTATTCAACAGTTAGTATGCAAGGCTGTCTCTCTGCATCCTCTAGTTCTGCATCTACTGTTCAACATTTCCAACACCAACATTTAGATTTCCAGAGCCCTGCTCTTTGTAAACATTTTTCCATCCAGTTTGATAAGTTCAGAATATTGGCTCTCTGTTTTCTATATTTACTGTGCCACCAGTATATGTTAAATCTCTTTCTCGCCCCCCCCAATAATGATACAAAAACTTGCCCCTTGTCTCTTTGTCTGGATGCAAACTGGCATCTGTCCTGGTAATTTCTTACCTTCATTTGGTATAAACCTCTCTTTTCTGTTTCCAGTGTTTAACCTTAGTCTCTTCATCACTATCGCTCTGCTGGAATCTTGGCTTTGTTTCCTCTCCTTACACCAGATTGCCATGGAAAACTGATTTTCCCATGAAACTTATGCATAAGCCTCAACATTTCTGTTCCTTTCCATCTCTTTGTCAGAGAGTGAAATCCTGAGCATCTAATGCAATAGTATTTAGGATTGTACTGAAACTACTGTATATATAATTGAAATAAACAGCTACTTTTCCCTGTCTCTAGATTTGTCAAATTTAAGTATAATTCTCAGAGCAGGAATTTACCTTTTTATACTTAATAAAGCAATGGACATTGCTGATGCAGTGTATATATAATTTGAAATTGAATAGTAACTTTTGAGAGCTTGCAGCAGAAGAAATTATCAAGAGAACTGTGGCCATATCAATTGTACATAACAGTCTACTTTAGGTTATACCCTTTATCCTTCTACCATGTTTCCCCGAAAATAAGACAGGGTCTTATTTTAAATGTTGCTCCCCAAAACACGTTAGGGCTTATTTTTTCAGGGGATGTTTTATTTTTTTCATGTACAACAGTCTACATTTATTCAAATGCAGTCATGTCATCTTCTGGTTGCTGCGCAATGGTGGAGGGCGGGGTTTCACTTAAGTGGGGCTTATTTTGGGGATAGGGCTTATATTATGAGCATCCTGAAAAATCATACTAGGGCTAATTTTCAGGTTAGGTCTTACTTTCGGGGAAACAGGGTATATATAGGAGGAGAGTATATAGACTTGCTTCTAATTGCCCACCCATGCATTTGATGGAGGCTTGAGGGAGCAAAAAGAGAACACAAATGATATTTTAATTTTTTTGTTGTAAGCTTCTCAAAATCTTCTCTAGAGAATTAGGAAACCATTTAGAATAACATGGGAGAAGAGTTCGAGAAAGAAATGTTGTCCTTGTTTTCATGAACACTGATGTTCAGTTCAACAAATAGTTTTCCACAAACAGAGGAAAACAATTGGCTATAGTTTGTTTTTCAGTCTCATCTTTTAAAATGAGCTTTCCAAGATACTTAATATAACTAAAACTTCAGAACAACAGTAAAGCAGAATTTAAAATGATACCAAATAAAACATGAAAACAAGGAAGGAAAATTATGTGTAAGAACCATTGATACAAAGCCTTTGCACGGCTTTATGGGGTGACTTGTAAAATAAACATGTTTAAGAGCCTATAAGTCCAGATGGAAAGGTAACACTTGCCTTGAAGGGAGTTTTGTGCACAGAAGAACCACAACTACAAATGCTGTTTGGTATCTGCTGGGGGGTGGTATACGAATTCACAATATTCACTTTCTGAAATAAAGATGCATGTGGTAGTCTAGATGACTGGGTTAATGACTTTGTAAAGAAAGCTGAATTTGACTCTGAAGGTCAGATTCCAGAGCTACAGAAAGGTCAGTGTTGCTCTGTAAAGTTCTACATGAGTTTATATATTAAGAGTGGACAAAAGGATCTGCTGGCTGCCCATGCCCCTGTTCCATCCTTCACTGCCATCGGTGACACCTCGCCCCAATGTGCAGATATTAAATGTGACTACCCTGGTTCAGAAGATGCCTTCAGGTAGTCCATTTCCAATTCCTGGCATCTTGAGGTATAAATCATGAGTTACTAGGGCTGGGAAAAGAGTTTATATTGCTCAGTTAGGTGCTCCAATGCGCCAGCAGATCACAAGACAATTTGAAATGTGTCATGTGATATGAAGAGCATTTACAGATATATTGTTCAGATGTCATAATGGAAAATCCTGAGTGACATCCTTAGCAACAAATACTGAAGATCTATAGAAGTATTCCTTATCTCAGTAATATGCAAATAGATGAGTTCCTAGTCTATCCTATCTCCATCACTGCTTCACCAATGTGCAGATTATTTTCTCTGGCAAGGGGTGTTTCCTGTTTATATATAGGCTTGCCATGCAAGCAAGAGCCCTAATTTTATTCTTCAGATATAAAGCCTACATATCAGCAAGAATCTGTCCTCTACAGACATGGTCTTCTCCATGTGAATAAAACCATGTTGGAGAAAGAAGGGGCTAGAAACACCCCCATGCAAATGTTGGGAGAGATCAGAGTTATTAAATCCTGATTATTACTTCAGAATGAACATAAGTGTAAGATGAACAAACCTTTTAAATCATTCTTTTTGTTAATGTATGGGAAAAATAAAACATAGAGTGTCATCTGTATTCCACTTAATTTATTGACAAAATTCTGGTTGATTTTAATGAAACAGGATAGTAATACCGAAAAATCTAACTATTGAGTCATTGTCAAATGTAAATTGAGAATAACTGCCATGTAATAATACTGATACCAAAATACATTTCCCAAGTGTGTGTGGCTGAGTTCTGATGGGTTGGAAAGGACTGTTCTTTATTATTACCAGGAAACTGTGCAGAATGATAGTGGGAGGATAAAGAGCCAGAACAGTAAAACACCATCTCAGATGTAAAGTAATTCTGTCTTGTAACATAGATCCACTGTGTCACTAGCAGTCACACTGTATTCTTCAAAGCAAGGTGATCACTTCTGATTCTCTGTACGTAGTGTAGAAAGTGTTCCTTTAAACAGAATGTGTCACTAGAAATAATTAATGACTTAGCCATGTTAAGGCTAAATGATATTTAGCTTTACTTAAAATGCAAACATCCTCTGCAACTATAATTCAGTATGTTTAAAACAATTTTCTTTACCATTAAAGTTAATAATATGTGCATTAACCTGTGATGAGGTTTGAATCAATATTGCATTTTTGAAGATGGGGGCTCATGGACAGCTTTGTCTACATATTGATTGAATTGTCATTTGTTTAAGGTATGAAACAAATTACATGCCACACCAATATCATTAATGTGGCCTCTCCAAACTGCTGAATCTACAAGTCCATGGAGTACATGACATTCCATTGAGAAAGTATTGGAATTATGGTGAAATACAATTGCTTAGCATGCTAAATTTGCTTGATTGCAGTAAGAACCATTTTGCGCCCATTCGGGCATTTGACCATCAATATTAATTTATTGTTACAAGTTTGCCACCCTTCTTCTCTTTTAATTGATGCTGACATACTTTGATAAAGTGCATTGGTTCTGAAGTATGTTTTGTGGAGAGTATCCATGATAAAATCCTTGTGTGTATAATGTTGTACAAGACTGTGCTGTCTCAATTATAGATTCTCATTGAAATTTGCTTTAGCTTCAGCATCATAGGTATTTTATAAGATTCTCAGGTATGTTTTAAAGTCAATATATTCTGAAATATTAATCTAAATAGTACTAGGATTGTAACCTAAATGTAGTGAAAGACAGCATGAATTTGAAATTTGGTAACTTTGAAGAGTTTAAACAATCATTAAATGACAAATATATTTTATTTTATTTACTTATATGCCGCCCACACTACCCGAAGGTCTCTGGGCGGCTTACAGCATTTAAAATACAATAAAAAGGCAAAATAAAAGGGCAAAATAATTAAAATGCAATTAAAATATATATTCTAAAAGTTGCCATCAGACCCACATTTGATGTTATTTCAGTTAAAAGCCATTTGGAACAGGAAGGTTTTGACCTGGCGCCGAAATTTTTCCTAGGACTTCCATATTTATTTCCCGCAAATTAAGCTCTTACTTTACTCTATAAATAATATAATATATGGATCTTCTTAAAATGCACTGTCAAAATTATCCCATCATGCATTTATTCATTGCTGCCTTTCACATTTTCTAATCATTAGAGTAATTACTTACTCAACATCTGAGCATATAAAAATTCTGTATACTGGATTGTGCAGTTAATTAACAAATGTGTAGGGTTTTTTTAACTGAGTCACTTAAAATTATATAGAGCTTGAAGGTAGATTACATTACTAAATTCTCAAGAAGATTTTTCGATGATCTCTTACCAGGTAAAAGTGATCCCTTTTGTGTAGTTGAGTTGAACAATGATAGACTGTTGACTCACACAGTATACAAGAACCTCAACCCTGAATGGAACAAAATCTTCACCTTGTAAGTTTTAATGCAGTGCTTTCTCATTTTACTTCCAAGGCTGGCTAGTCCTTTCAGAGTTATCAAGATAAAGATAAATTCCTCTTATTTCTTAAGGAGAACTGCATATTAAGGCGTAAACATAAATGTAAGGTAGATATTTCAACCATTTTGAAACGGCTTTGTGAGTGTTGGCATTAAAAATGTCAGAGTACTTTTGAGATAGTGTAGTTTGCTGGTTTGTTGCTATTAGGCTATGGATGTGGGCTTTCTAAAGTTGGTTTCAAGAAACTTTTAGAAACTGATCTGGCAACTGCAGCCAGGTTCCTGCTGGTGCTCAGTTGACACTGAACTGTGTTCCTTTTGTATATGTCCAATATCACTTGATGCAAACTATTTTAGCTTTAAGTTTAGGTAATTGAAGACACTACTGTCAAATTCAAAATGGTACTCCTTTTGTTTCACAGCAGCCACTAATGAACTGAATGTACAAGTCAGGGATTCCAAAATACATGTTGGCTTTCCCCGATCTCTGATCCATTGGATACTTTGCCATGTTGAAATTAATCCTTAGAAACAGGAAAGAAACATCTATGAAGGAAAAGAGAGACTTTGAAAGAATAAAACAGTAACAATACAAAAAGATAGTGCAAGAGCTGGTCCTCTATTATTTCCTTTTCTCTCTAATTATACTTAAGAATTTTAAATCCAATAAAGGTGAAACTACAACGGAAGTTGTGCTTTTACCTGTTATGATTATTATGAACCAACCCATTGTTTATCTTAGTTTTATGTAGAATTGTCATACTGCATGTCTTGCATTTCATTGCCCTTTGGCTCTTCTGTTTACATTTGTAAATGGTTGGCACTCTTTTTTAAGACAGATATGAGGATATATAGATACAGTGGTGCCCCGCATAGCGAGGTTAATCCGTTCCGGATTAACCCTCGCTATGCGGAATCGTCGCTAAACAGGTAGGGAAAACGTATTGAAACGCATTAAACTAAGTTCCAATACCTTGCTTACTTACCCGTTCAGCGAGGATTCCCCTTGCCGGCAGCCATTTTCGCGCCCTCGCTAAGCGAGGGCAGGGCGTGAAAACGGCTGCCGGCAGCCATTTCCGGGCTTCCGGCAGCCATTTTGGAGCCGCTGAACAGCTGTTCGGCGGCTCCAAAATGGCCGCCGCAATACCCGATCTTCGCAATGCGGGTTTTCCCCATTGCGAAGATCGGGTATGTTTCCGTATAGCGATCCCGAAAAAGGGATCGCTATACGGAAACATCGCTATACGGTGCACTCGCTAAGCGAGGCACCACTGTATTTTCGGTCTGCAAAATCCATAATCCCATGCTATTGGCTGTGCTGCATAGGCCTGATGGGAATTTGCAGTCAAACAGTGGACGGAAGAGTGAAAGTTCCTCCTTTTGTTTTTTGACTATTCAACTTAGTGAATGCAAATGAGATGTAGGAAATATAATACAAATGCAAAAGGGGTATTATTGTTCTCGAAGACTACCACCATTACATTCTTCCTTAACTTTGTAATGTTCTGATCTCAGATGTCTGTTGGATTGACTAGGCTAAAATGATTGTCGGGCATTCCATGAGAGAGAGAAAAAAAATGAGTATAGAGAAGTAGGTTGTTTGCTACTTCACTATCCAGTAATATTCTAAAACAACATTCTTGTGACATGTTTTTGTGGCCGACATGAAGATGCCGGCCACAGAGACTGGTGAAACGTTAGGAAGAACAACCTTCAGAACACGGTCAAAGAGCCCGAAAAACCTACAACAACCATTAGTCTTGTGACATGTTAGAACCTAACAAGTTTCATTTGGCATAAACTTCAATGAACTGCAGCCCACATCACCTGACACATCCAAATGGTATTCAGTGAATCAATGGGAATTTGGTGAACCAACTCCTCTTTAAGCTTCATTAATTCAAATGGGCCCACTCTAAGTGCAACTTATTTTGGCATAGTAAGTTACAGTTAATAGAGTTCCATTTGAATCAATAGAACATATGGAGTTGATTGACCATTACACACTAATTCAACGAGCCTACTCTAGTGCAATTTACTGTACTAAGCAGCAGAACTTTGGCCCCTCTCTCACACCTCTAAATGTTTCTGTTTAGACACTTTGGCTTTGGTTTTTATAATTTATTACTGTAATTTTATTTATTTAAAACATTTTATACTGCCTTTCTCCATGGCAGCTTACATCATTAATATTTAAAAGCTAAAAACAGTATATATACAAATATTTAAAAAGAGTCAAACAAATGGCACACTAAAAATGGTAAACAAGATCAACACCAAAAACATGTTCAGAGCATCAAGGCACAACATTCATTTAAGAACTCTCAGACAGCCAGTCACTAAGGAAACACCTGTCTTGAAGAGAAGGATCTTCACTTGAAGATAGCAAAGCCTGGCCCCCTGTGAGAGTTCCCAGAGTATGGGAGCAGTGTCAAAAGTCCCTCTCCTTTGTTCACAGCATGAAGGGGTGGGACCAAGACAAAGGCCTCCCCTGATTTATTTATTTTTTTAACACCTGGCGGGCTTATAAAGGGAGACATGGTCCTTGAGAAAGCTTGGAACCCAGCCACATAGGGCTTTATAGGTTAAAACCAGGACAAAATGGAAGTTCTCTCACACACAGCACATTAAAAAATCATTATAATAAGTGACACAATTTATGGAAAGGGAAATTTCTTTGTCTTTAGAGTGAAATAACTTCACAGAAGTGTTATGATTCTTATATTCTTCCTCTCAAATGAAAGTAGAAGCTAACTTTTGTTGTGACCTCTCCACTTCTCACCAGCCTCAAAAGCCCATAATATGTTTCCTTGAATGTAACCTATTTTTTATTAATCTGGCTACTTCTAACTGTTCGTAATTAATTGTAACCACAATTAGGAGCTCAGATTACACCATAAACTATGATTAATATAAAATGGAAAGCAGAAGCTTTCAGTCTCATCCTAGTAGCCATGTTGGAAGAGGAAGATGAAGAGGGAGTGTTTCATATTTTGGAGCTACGTTCATTGTAATTGTGATAAACTGTAGTTTAGCATTATGTGTGACTGAGGTTAAGCTAGTACACAGCTTAATACCAAAATTTTTATGCTCTATAAGTTGATGCTTATTCAAATGAATAAGAGAAAGCTATGAATATATTAATTGCTCCCAAATGTAGTGCTTACACAATGTGATTTTGGTAGCATGTACCCCCCCCAAAAATCTATTTCTGTCTCCTTGGGAGCAAGCTCATATTTCTGCAAATATTCATTACTAAATGCATGCAATCAATGGACTGAATCAGAATAAATGTTAAATAAAAGCTTTCTCATGCTATGTGTGGTATACATGCCCAGAACTGCAGTGTCCAGTATTGTTCCAATTAGAATTAATCTGCTTATAACTTAGCTTTCCTGATTTCTAGTTTTTTTTAATATGTGCCATTTTTTTCTGTAAGTTAACACACTTGCTTCAATAAACATTTAGTTAGATGACTTTTTCACCTTTATTTCTGCCCCGCCCCTTTTGAAGCAATATTAAGGATATCCACTCAGTTCTTGAAGTGACTGTTTATGATGAAGATCGAGACCGGAGTGCTGACTTCCTGGGCAAAGTGGCTATACCGTTGTTATCTGTAAGATATTATCATTATTGTCATTACTATCATTATTATCATTATTATTGCACTGTTCTGTGTGTTTTTCTGCTCACGGAAACAATCAGTGCTATCTGTCATTTTTCAACCAAGGTCTGTAATAAGAACACTAAAAAAATTTAACATACTCAATTCACGGCCATGTTGAATCCCATGATAGTTAATTTTTCCTGACAGACTTGGTCCTGGTAATGAACAGGTACTTGTCAGAATTGCCACAGTTGTTTTGGGTTCTCTGTCAGTTTCAGCAGCTGGGGGTCAAAGGTCATCGAGGGAGTGTATTCAGTGGAGACCACGAGACAGACGGCTGTCATGTCCTTTTCCTGCAGATTCAAAATGGTGAACAGAAAGCCTACGTCTTGAAAAACAAGCAGCTGACAGGGCCAACAAAGGGGGTCATCTATCTTGAAATAGATGTGATTTTTAATGCTGTAAGTCTTAACTTTGGCTTTTTTGTACTGCTAAAGAGTTCAGTTTCATGAAAGCTTTTGTTCCTGATTTGTAGAGAATTTCTGTCATTACTCATTTTCTCTAAACCTTGATGCATGCTGCAGAATGCTCTTCTGCCACTAGCTGAGACATCCACAGTTTTTCACTTTGCTCCTATGGCTGCTAATGTGTACACAAGCATGAGTTTCTGTGCCTCACATTTCTAGCTTACAATCTAGGCCTCATGACTTAGAAATGTCATATTGATGATTCTAAATGTTAAATATATTGGTCCCTAAAGATAATGATGCTTTTATGTACAGGTGAAAGCCAGCGTACGAACATTAATACCCAAAGAACAGAAGTATATTGAAGAAGAGAACAGAATTTCAAAACAGGTAGTTTTAAAAAAGGCTCAGATGTTTCCAAAATACCTTAAATCAAGAGTAACCTTGCATTGTTATTTGTTTGTTTGTTTATCTATCTATCAAAGAGAGGAGCTGGCCTATTTACACAGATTTTAGGATATAGATTATAAATGTCAATCTCATCCTGCTAGAGTCTTGTGTATGTATGTGTGAAATGTGACCGTGAGAACATAGGGAAAGTTATTAATCTGACTCCGCATATCAGGTTATAACACAGGTGGCTGTAAATTTAGTCTAGCATTCATTTTTGTAGCTATGTGCGTCCTGGAGGAACTCTTATATTGTTGCAGATTAGGAAATGTATCAGCCTTTTGTTCTCTTAGTTCTACTTCTGTGGTGCTTACTAGAATCTTTATCAAAGAAACAAACAAAAAATCATTTGACTCTTCAGGGCTGGTTGATAAGGGTCTTTCCTTCTTTTCACATTTTTTTTTTTACTAATTAATGCTTTCAAAAATTCCAGTAGTAACAATTCCAAAAGTGCAATTTTTATAATAACCTCTCAGCTAGGCTAATAATGCAGAATTAAATTATTCCAAATCACTCATCTTTACAAGATGTTGCTTTTTTTCATTACAGTATTTGTATAATTTTTATGTAAAATGTAGATTTTCTTTTCAGTAAAGAACTTTTTATTCTGAGGAATATGAGGAATATAATACTTTCATTAGAGTGGAAGAAGGAAGCATTGATTTTTAAAAAATGGTATTTTACTCCAGATATATAGTTCTCTTCAACTTCTGCTTAGAAGCTGTTAGGATTATTTGTAGGAATAATAAAGCTATAACTATTATGAACCTTAGATGTCTTCAGTGAACTTCATGTGTTGATTTAAGGTCGGTATTTTCTACCTGTTGGTTACAAATCATTATAGTCTCTTAGAGAGATTATTTCCCTTCTTTTTCACATAATGGATCCCTCCTCAACATGATGTTCTCTATATTTTGGTTACAACTTCAGTCAGTCCCCAGAAATAAGGTATATATTAATGCATAATGGGATTTGTAGTTCAAAATATCTAAAGAGCATCATGTTGTGAAAGGCTGTAGTATTACATTGTGTTGTCATAACTAAATGGAAAAAGAGAACTGATGAGAACTTAACACATGAAATCTCAAATCCACTTACCTCATTAGTATAAAAAAATGAATAAGCACAACTTCAGAATTCCAGTTATAGGAATTTAGACTTATATCTTAAATGTCTGGATCTCTATATATAAAACATCCTTTTAATTTTTGAAATTAAAATGTGTTAGTATATATAGCCATGTTTTAACTTCAATTATTTTATGTGGTTTTAAGAATTCCATAAACCTGCATTTGATTCAGCTATCAGTAATTTGACTGATAAATATTATAGGAATTATTTCACCCTTTTGTTGCTTTTGTTTTCATACTACAGTATTTTAAGCTGAAATATGTTCTGAGCAGCCTTTGTACTCGAACTATGTAAATCGGGCTAAAACATGCTATCTCTTATTCTTGCAGCTTCTTCTAAGGAATTTTATCCGTATGAAACGTTGTGTCATGGTTCTCATAAATGCTGCCTATTACATAAACAGTTGCTTTGACTGGGATTCACCACCAAGAAGTCTTGCTGCTTTTGTGGTATGATATTTCCTCCTTAAATAGAAGATTAATCTTAATATTAATGGCATACTTATCTAAAATCAATATTTAATGGGCTTTAGCAGTGGTGCACAACTTTATGTGACAGCCAAAATCAACAAGCAGGAAACAGTCTGTAGTTTAAGGCTGTTGCTAGATCTGCCAGCACTTCCTGTAATTGGTGTGTGTCCATAGTCAGTGTTTGTATTAGGCCCCAGGAAGTTTGATGCAACCAAACTCTGCTTAATAATTTTTTTTGCTGCTGATAGCAAGTGTCATGGCTCTAAAGATAGCCAGTAAAAATGAAGTTTTTTTTAAAGTGGCCACAGGTTTGTTTAAATTGCCAATAAATGATTTAAGTATCTCAGATATCTGGCAGTTGTGTTGTAGAAATGTTGAGTATGAATTGCTTTGCTAGTAAAATGCACATTTCAAAAATGGAGATGTAATAATGGATCTTTTTATTTTGGGGAACATGCTTTGCGTGTTGCTCTGGGGAATCATGTGGCAGGGACCTAGGACAGAGCACTTTGCCATGTTTATATATTCAGGGAAGAAGAACAGTGTTATATGATACCTTGTCTCATGTGGTCTCTTGACTTCAAAAGTTGTTATACGACCTGAAAAGTGACAAGAGGAGCAGCAATTGCATCCTAATTATAATTTGATAATGGCAACCAACAAACTGATATAGTAATCTTGGGGGGGAATTATCAATGGTAGAGTGTTTTTGGGCTTCTCCTAGACACCTAGTCTGCCACTGTTGGAAGCAGAATCCTTAACATGACAGATTTTTTGTACAGAAGAGCTTTTATGTTTCTAGGGGTTTTTGTATGCATTTTAAAGCCAGTAGCTAAAAACCAATGCTTAAAGAGGTTTTTGTTCTCTCTGTTTATTCCCCCTGAATATCTGAATTGAATTTCTGTTTACACTGTAGAATACAGTTCTGCTTGGCAAGAAAACACCTTTGTCCAACCCCTGGGCATTTTTCTGTTTTGAATTTTTGGCTTTATCTCTTCATGATTAATGCACAGCCTTTTGAATCCTGTTCAAATCTGGAAGTTATTGCTGAAAATTTTTTTGCTTGTGCCTCTGCTGTTGTGAACATAGAGAGCAGTACACTGTCCTTTCTTACTCACAACCAGGCCTTTCACAGGCACAGTTGTTTCAGAACTGAGAAGCCAAGAGCTATCAGTACCATAAACTAAATTTATTATATAACGTTTATTTTTTTCTTTTCTGGTCTTCCTGTTTTCCTATCTTTTTTGGAGCTGTTAAATAATCTGTCGTGATATAATTTAGTGGCAGGATGGGCAGAGAAGACACGGACCATCTGTCTTTCTTTGACTCCGTGTCACATGTGTATATGGACAACATTGGCGCAGACAGACATTGTTTTAAGGTGCTTGTGAAAGTATCAACATCTATAGAAAAATTGAAATACTCATCTTGTATGCTGTGATTTTTTTAGACTGACACATTATGAATATTACTGAGCAGTTTCAAAGCCTTTTGATAGAAATAGCTGATACTGGGCTACTTATACCCAAGAATTTTACTCAGTTCTTGTCCTAAGCCATCCTGCAGTTACCTATAGTGCCACAGCAGATATGTGATTGCCTATGATTGCAGCTCTGCAAAAAGCTGTATGGTATGTGTCCCAGAAAGATCTTTGGTGTATCCGTTGATTACTGCACACCATCTGTTCAAGTGAGATTGAAGTCTTGGAATTGGAGTAGCTTAAAGTGAGCTACAGATTGCAGAATGCGGCAGTTAGAGAATTGCAGATTAAATGAGCAGATCCTGTGATTTTGATAAAGATCCAGAATTGTGTAAAGTTGGACTTTGCAAATTGGATGATTCTATGTGCAGAATGAAGAAGGTGATTTTGTTTCCTTAGCCTTGTCTCTTAAGTTCCTTACAGTCTTGAACATTCACTCTTGAGGGTTAAGGGGACATGAGAATAGTGTCTGAGGTGGTGCTGGGGACTGCGTGGGAAAGGAGAACTCAGTGAACATTACTGCCACACCTCTAGCCAGAAACTTCTCCTTTTCTTTGTTGTCATTCTCTGATAACAGAAGGAGAGCTTCCATTTGTAGAGTAGATTCTACATGAATTCTATATTAATTCTACATATTAGATTTAAACAGATGCTTACAATGCACAGTACATGAGATCTAAATATATTCTCTGAGGCTAGAAGGGGCATACTGAAAAAGCCGTGGCTGTAGTATTTTAATGTTGCTGTCTCTTGCTATTTCTTATCTTCATCTTTACAAGTGTTAAATATGCAATAAGTAAGCGCAACCTAAATATTTCAATATAGAAAGCATTAGTACACATAATTGCATCCTGGTTTATGTGCCAATAAAGCTATCTGAATTACTTCTACATTCTTTCCACATGTAGTGATTATAATACAATATTTTTACGTGTAACAGGTGAGTGGAAGACATCACATATGGAAAAATGACAAAGGTTATTTTTAAAATAACCTGATGAAGATACTGAAATGTCTTCAAAATTAGGCTCAATTTTCCTTAGGCTCATGACATTCGTGCACTTGTAAATGTTAGAGAGGATGAGACATACAGGGCAGGAGAGGAAGGAATGTACGCAACCTCTTTTATGTACTGTCGACTTTCTATAATGAGCAGAAAAATAATTGGACAAGTAAGCTATCAGTGAAAGGACATACTTCAACATAAGTCATTGAATTATTTTGCAGGACAAACCTTAATGTTTTAATTTTATCGTGGATAATTTATTGGTCCTATTTGTCCATTTTGAATTGTTTTAGCCTTTTCAGTTGTTCTAAAGTAAGTGCTGCTGTGTTAACATTAACATTTGATATTTTACACATTTAATTCCTGTACTGCTGTGTGATCTTCAGGGAAATGCACTTGAGCGCTACCAGAGAGAGACAAAGTATTGATCAGCTAACATTTCAGCTACATTTATGTATGTCGCAAAATTAATGAAAATGCCAGACAAAAATGTCAGAGTGCACAAAACGATACGATTTGAATTTTGGTAGTTTAATGAAAAATTTAAGATATATGTTATCACATGTCCCTTTGGTCTGTATTGTACAGTTCATAATAGATTAATTAAAGGGAAACATGCAGTTTACTTTGAGGAGTGTTGAGCACAACTTCTAAGGGAAGAACTAATTCTCAAAGTAGCTGCTGTTTCCAACAAGACTTCAATAAGAAATTGCAAGTTTGAATATCCAAAGATGGCTTTAAGTTTAAAAAAAATAGTATTTTCATCTGTCAGAATGATGGCATTGTATTTTTAGGCACTTGTAGTTTTCCTTCACTGCTCTTCTATACTTTTCCTATTCTGCTCTTTTTCCTTTGCTCTCAAAGAGCCTAATCTAAATACATGTTTTTATTAACTTCACCAGTCAAATGAACAGATGGAACCATATCCTGAAGTGTTTGAGTTCTTAGGCTGATGGTTTATGTTATTATTAATAGGGAAACCTTGGTATATCAAGATGGAAATGTTCTTGTAGCTCCCCTTTTCCCCTGGATATGTCCCATGTCTTTTGAAACATCCATGTAAAGCCAGTATAATTTAAGAATTTTTTAAAGAAATATTTAATGTTAAAGTTTTTTTCTCAGTGAACAGTGCTACATTATAGACAATTACAAATATGTCCTCAAATTACACAGTCTTATGTGAAAATTGCAATAGTCATCATAGCTAGTCAATAAAAACCATTACTTTATTCAAGCGTACAGTTTCATTTTACTGCTATATAGATAGCTAAATAAATAAATAAATAAATAATAAATCATGACATAGGCGTGACATTGCTGTTTTTGTCTTTGCAGACCTCTTAGAAATAGTCTATATCTATGCTATGTTATTGATTTTATCTTCAGAATCTTGTGGTTTTGCAAGTTGATGCACAAGGCAGACTGTCCTTGAAAGAAGGATAATGGCTGCTGAAATGCCTTCTGGACTCTGAGCATGTGCAAATGGCATGTGGCTATCGTTATAGGAAGGTAGTGAGGTTTTCTTTAGTTATAGACATGTGTATTGTCCTGCACTATAGAAGTATACTGAAAACACACTGGAAAATACACACTCAGTAATCTGACACAGTAAAAATTGGTTACTAATTGGAATCCAGCGTGTTACCTCTGGTGTTTAATAAGTTTGTCATCCTTTTTCCAGATTGCCTCCTCCATCCAGAACCACTTGTGGCACTTGAAAAGCTGCCTTGAGGCCAACACACCCAATCAGTAATACAGTGGTGCCTCGCTTAGCGAGTGCACCGTATAGCGATGTTTCCGTATAGCGATCCCTTTTTCGGGATCGCTATATGGAAACATACCCGATCTTCGCAATGGGGAAAACCCGCATTGCGAAGATCGGGTATTGCGGCGGCCATTTCACGCCCTGCCCTCGCTTAGCGAGGGCGCGAAAATGGCTGCTGGCAAGGGGAATCCTCGCTGAACGGGTAAGTAAGCAAGGTATTGGAACGCATTAAACTAAGTTTAATGCGTTTCAATACATTTTCCCTACCCATTTAGCGACGATTCCGCATAGCGAGGGTTAATCCCGAACGGATTAACCTCGCTATGCGGGGCACCACTGTATATAGAAGCATATACCATTCACACATAGGGTTTTTCTAAATCCCAGCCTTTATGTTGCCATGCATATTTATTTTGATCAAAATATCCAGTCATATTCTTGTAGAGTGCAATTCTACATTTTCAACATGTATAATGGGCAGGGGGGCATCTATTATTTCCAATTTGTCAGAAAGCTTTTTCCCTCCTGTGCCAAAGAGTATGCCTTTGACTTAACTGAGATGGCAAATGGTTAGTTTAATGAACAAATAAATTAATATTTTGCTGGCTGAATAGCTCAGAGATTTAGGTGTTTAGCTGAGGAGCCAGAGACTGGGAGATTGATTCTCCACGGTGCATCCCACAAGAGCCAGCCTGTGAGTCCTTGGGGAAACTGTACAGTCCTAGGAT